GTTAGACAACTGCTGGTTTGAACAGAGCCTTACTGTTGTGGTGACAATAGTTTTATGACAAAGTGACAAAGTAAGGAAACATCTGCAACATGGACAAAGTGAGACGTTGATATACGTTTTAGGGGGTTATTAACAAGTGTGAAGAGTTTAGAGAAGGCAGGAGAAGTGAACAATCTAGGCCAAAATAGCTGATTTGACACTTCCCAGTTCAGTTATGTTGTCCTAGATTGTTCACTTCTCCTGCCTTCTCCAAACACTTCAACCTTTTGTGAATAACCCCCTTAGTCTCTCACTTCCTGTCTGCAGAAACTATTACTGGGACAGGAAGTGAGGAGAAATCTCTCTAAAGGAGACTCAGATAGCAATAAAATCCAACAAGGGATTGTAATCACTCCCCAATCACGTTTTGGTTGGACATACACTTTAAAAGGAAGCTTGTGCTGATAGAAATACCCATCTAGCAATGCTGACCTCTCCTATGAATGTTACCAGCCCAGTGGTCAAGGTGATTCAGTAGCTTCACTATTTCTTGAATTACTGACCAGGAGCAAGTATGTAGATTGGGAGTTTTGACTTCATCGGCTGCATCCAAAACGGAAATGTTATTTTATGGAGAAATGACAGTAAAGTGAGCCTATGATAGGTTTTAAAGGAAACGCAAAATATCAAAAGTTGAAAAAAAACAACATTTTTATTTACAAGTTCACATTGAAAGACAAGTTATCCTTTTCAAAATGTTTCAATTACTTATTAACATATAAAGAAAATATAAATTATACTCTGTGTAAATATAAACATTGGTTATAGAAAATGTCAAATTAGTGCAAGTGTATAAAAATACACACAGTATGAAACTCTTTCTCAAACGTAAAACAGGCTGACACACTAACTCTTGTTTCACACACAAAGAAAACGATATTCTGTTGGAATTATAGAGGCACTTTCATTACAGTTAAAAATATTAATGACACATTGCTTTGGAAAATACAAATAAAATGCTTACCATTAGGACCTTCACTGAATCCATTCTTTGCTCTCTTGGAGAGTTAAAATATTCACTTTATGGTATGTCGGATGCCTGGTCTTTCTTGTTACCTTATGTGGCTCACCTCTTCCCGGCTGCTGTGCTGTGGCACTAGCTTGTCATTTCAGAGCTTCAGAACAGGGACATGCTAGTGACTTAAAGTAGAACTATGGGGTCAGAGCTTTTCCCCATAGTTCTCCTAAGGGTAACAGGAGGACACAAACTAGCATCATCCCACTACAGCTTGCGGTATACTGAGACGCCGCAGGCGCTGGAGGATCGGACAGGGGAGGGGGGAATCCCTGCAGGGAGCCGTGAGTGACAGTCATGGCTCTCTGCATGGATAGATCGAGAAGTGAGCGAGCAATGCTATGTGTTCGCTCACTTCCCGATCTATTGAGCCGACCTGTGACAGTTTCATTGTCACAGGTCAGCTAGAACTATGAGGCTGAGTGATTTTCACTTTCCTCATAGTTCTCCTTTAAGTAGACTACACACATCAAATTTTGGCTGGTACTTGATAAACTAGTTGAAATTCGCTGCATGGGTGCTGCTGTTGGCACCCATACGCCCAGCATCCCTCGATCAGCAGGTCAGAAAATTCTCAGTAGAATAGAGCTACTTGCTCAATAGAAATGGCGGGGAAATCGTCCATCAACGCTCATAAGCATTGATGTTGGAATATGTTCTATTTTTTTTTCATTCAGCACGCGGGTTTAATGAAAATAAATTGCCCAGCTTTAGCAGGTCATGAGGGAAGGGGGGGGAGTGCAGATCCAAGAATCAAAGATTCAATTTAACGGAAATGCTAATGGTGAGTGTTATAAATGTATTATCCAAAGCATTGTTAAAATCAAATTTTACTTGTGATGACATTACGATTGATTGCTAAAGAAATAGAACATGTGCACTTTGTAATGTAAATGTTTATTTAGCATATTGAATGAGGCAAAGCTGTGTTGTTCACTTCAATTATCCAATCATGTGCAATAAATAAAAAAAATATACTGTTTTTTTGTTGTTGTTATTTTTTTAAACTTCCCTTGCACATGATTGGATATTCACTTTGGATGTAGATTGTAGATTCACTTTAATTACCAAGCTAAGTAAACATACACTTTACAAAATGTTCAGCCACTACTCTTTAATGAATCAAATCCAGGGTCTCTTTAATCACTCTGTTTTGTAGCTTATGACTGCATCACATGTTCAGTGATGAGCTGAAGATAGATGCTGACGATATACTGTATATCCACAAGAAAAAAATGGCATGTGCTTAAAGCTATAAAATTAATTTGTATACCATTTTTAAGGGAATAATGCACATTGTGCACAGAACATGCTGTTCAATACAAAACAAACTTCAGAAACTACAGCTTAAACATGACAGGAGAAGGGCCCCATACTCAAACTGCTCCACTACACACATTGCTTGTGACTAGAATCCAATATAATTAATCAGGGATATAAAATGGCAGCTTGCTAATAATATCTCCAGCCTCTGTTTGGATTCTGTCATAGACCCACTTCCTGTTGCAGCGGCACTCTGGACCACACTTGGTGGAGCTACATTTTGGGCATGGATAGAAACATCCTTGGCAGCTCTCCTCCAAACAGTCACACAAATCCTGATTATTGCACAGGAGTTTTCCTTGCTTGTCATACTTTTTAACTGAAACCCTGAAAAGACATTGCACGTGTTAATTAGATATTTTATAGGCTCAACATTCATTATTTAGTTAAATGTAATATAATAATATAAAATTGTATATATACAGTAAATATAGAGTACAGAAGAGGACTGCTTATGTGTCACTACTTACCTATTGTCAGCTCTGCTGGGATGGACTGGATATTAGGAGAGGTACTGCCTTAGATACCTACACTATGTAACATTTATTTGATATTCATTTTGGCCTCCACTGGCACGGAACGAATGTACATAAAATTTTGCCGGGTGAATGACTCTGCGAATTGTTGTAAAATACACCCCTTACATTTTAATATATGCACCATGCAGTAATCCATATAGACCAATACCAATTCTGTTATTGATTAAGTGACTAACTGCAGTAACAAAAATATGCTTGTGTGCAGTGTCTCTTGCATTTCACTTCCTGTATTTGTAGGAAATGCCAACAGACAATAAGCATGCATGAAATGTTAAATCAAGAATGAGTATTTTAGCCATGTGACTTTCATTTTCGAAACTTATTGGACTGAAAATAATGGTCACTTGAAAATAAGTATCCTTATCCTGGTGTGTTAGCTTTCTGAATTGATGTGTGGACCTATATGGGTTGGACTTGATGGGCTTATGTCTTTATTCAACCCCAAATACTATGTAACTATGTAACTATGAATTGTTCCTAATAAATATTACAAACAAGCTTGAAAAAGTAAAAGAACACCGGTATGGCAGTGATGGTCATGGTACAAACCTCCAGTATGGCAGCGATGGTCATGATACAAACCACTGGTATGGGACTGATGGTCATGGTACAAAGACCACCAGGTATGGCAGTGATGGTGATGATACAAACCACTGGTACGGGACTGATGGTCATGGTACAAAGACCACCAGGTATGGCAGTGATAGTCATATTACAAACCCCTGGTATGGTAGTGATGGTCATGATACAAACCACTGGTATGGCAGTGATGGTCATGGCACAAACCACCACTATTACAGTGATACAAACCACTGGTATGGCAGTGATGGTCATGGTACAAAAAACTGGTATGGCAGTGATGGTACTGTAAACTGTAAATGTCCTTACTTGTTGGTAGAGTAGTACCCATTCATCTGGGACATGTAAGCTTTCTTCTTTTGTTTTCGAGTTTCAGGATTAAAATCAGCAACCTGTGGTCCAGGGTTTTGGAAGGCCAAACATTTCAACTGTCTTTCAATTTGCTGTTATAAACAATAACAATGTCATTAAGCAGCATTTTACATCTAAACCATTAAATAGTCAGGTTGAAAAAAGACACAAGTCCATCAAGTCCATCATAGATGAAAGGAGCGCTCTCAGAACAGGCACAACTCCAAAAGTGGCACAAACCTTAAGGTAAATGTATCCCAGTGGTGTCCAAACTTATTTTAATAAGGGGGGTTTTGAACTACCTTTCCTCTGAAAATATACAGTATTGTGTATTGCTATGCATGGTGTACAAACTGCAATCATTCTAACGTTGTTTGTCTTGCATCTAATAAATATTTTTGTAAAGAAGGTAGAGTAAAAGAAGCACCTTAAGCCTGAAAAAGATTTATTACTATATGATATTCTAGGGAGCCAACAATTTATAGTGTGTTAACATGGCAGCACTCAATAAAGTGACAGCTGAGGATGTCGTACCATAGTTGTGACTCTGGTGATCGCACATTCCTTTTTACCTCATGGGTGTGCATGTGTAAAATTTAAAGTAAACATGTCATGGCAGAAATATGTATGCTTCCTTTGCTGACTTTGCTAATCCCTGGCTGGCATGCAGCTTGTTGAGCTGGAGGATCAAATCTGCATGGTTGTTCCAGGGTTCTAACTTACTAAATAGCAAATTAGCAGGATGACCATGACAACCAGGATACTAACATCTATAGAAAAAGTCAGCATTGGCACCCCCATATTTCTGTATTGACAGAAATACTTTAAATACCTGGCTTGCTAAACTTTGAATCCCAACAGACCTGCCAGGTATTTGATGTTACTTGTTCTAGAACTAGAAAACATAGAGGGTTATTCACAAAGCTGCCGTAGGCAGACGTGTGACTAACCGACCCAAAGTGAAGTGAAAAATAATGATAACAGTAAAAGGTTAAGGAGACATTAGAAGGTGACAGGGTGACATATATCCTCACATGCTACCATTTTGCCAAAAATAAAATAAATTAAGAATTTTAATTGCATTTGGCTTTACTATGCCAATCGGCACAGTGTGGGTAGCTTCCAGATGGCTGGCTATTCACATGTGCTGTACAGTTCACCAAATAGTTGAATCTGCCATAGGCAGCCGAGTGAACAACCGACCCGAAGTGAAGTGAGCCGAACACTGTTCGGCTATTCACTTCAGGCTTGTACGGCTGATTTCGGCTGACCTGAAGTGCAGAAGGAGTTCGACTCAGCCGATCCAACATCTGGATTAGCTGATCCGAACCTCCGGCAGGCTACTCGCTGCTGTTCGGCCTATTCTCATAGGGGCCAAACAGCAGTGAGTGAATAGCCGAATGTAGCCGATCGGCATTCACTTTGGCTATTCTGCTGGGTACCTCTGTGGTACCGAGCAGAATAGAAAACCAGTTAAAAAAGTAGAAAAAAAATAGAAAACGATTGGGCGGAGCTAGCATTGACAGCCAGCTCCGTCTAACTGTTTGCTATTGGCCGGGACCAGCTGTCATTACAATGAGAGCTTAGCGGAGCAGGCGGTGATATCAAAGCCGGCTCCGCTAAGCTCTCATGACAGTTGAGCGTGCCCTGGTTACTAGGTAATATCACAGCGGCTCTGCCGAGTTCTCATTGTAATGACAGATCAGCGTCCCCTGGTTGCCTGGTAACCAGGGGACACTGATCTGCCATTGCAAGTGGCCGGAGCCAGCCGTGAGATGACGGCTGGCTCCGCCCAGCTTTCAGTAACAGGCTGTCAGCTGGCCAATGGCCGGCCGTTCGGGCAGCTTCGAATTTCACCTCGGCTCAGTCGTGCCGAAGCATATGCCTTCGGCTCGACCGAGACGCTCGGCCAACTTCGGGAGCTGTACAGGCTATAGTGAATAGCTCGTACAGCAGCCTTTCAGCAGAACCGAAGGGCTCCCGTAACCGAAGCTAGCCGAAGGATCAGCCGAAGCTATGGCTGGATCCTTTGGCAGCTTTGTGAATAACCCTCATAGTATCAGTTTCCTCTATCTGGGCTAATGTATTATACATATAAAAAAAATGTATGTTGGATTATGTTTCTGTATATATTTAAGAAGATAGGAGGTGTGGTTTAGGATGAAGGTAAATGAGATTAAAGTGACCCTGTCAGCATAGGGTTACTTTTTATGTTAAGGCCTATCTGTAATAGAAGAGGCTGTATACTTACCTTATCACCACCCCATTTGTTGATACTCCACATATCTCAATGGCTGCAGCATGTATTCAAATGGCCAGATGGGTTGAATCCCTTTTTCTACCATCACATGGAGTGGTTTCTTATACGTCACTACAGAACGTAGAAGCTGGTGGAAAAAACACTGCATGCATTGGGGGTAAAAGGTATTTGACCCATCCCACAAGTCGAATATTTGCAGTGGGCAGCATGAAACAGCATATTAAAAAAACTGGCCATCAGAAAAATAAATATATTGCCTCTATTATTACAGGTATACCTTAACCACTTGATGACCGGGGTGTTAAACCCCATGCCTGGCCAGGCCATTTTTCAGTATTCAGCACTGCGGTACTTTGACTGATGTTTTTCAGTCATGCAACGCTGTACTGAAATTAATTCTATACCATTTTTTGGGGACAGATAGAGCTTTCTTTTGGTGGTATTTAATCACCACTGGGGGTTTTATTTTTTCCCCTATATTAAATTATTGAACATTTAATAATACCCAATGTTTTGGTAAAATATCAAATACGGGGTCACGTCGGGTAAATAGACACCAAACATGCCAAGCCTTAAAATTTTGCGCGCCCCCGAAACCTAAAAAAACGACAATACCCAAAATTGGCCATAGGCGACGCTTTACAAGCTTTTACCGTTCATCAGTTTAGTGTTATCAGTGATTGATGGCCCTGAAATGATTGCTCTCACTCCGACGTTCGCAGCGATATGTAACATGTGTACCGCAATTGTCGCTTTCGCACGTTGGCGCACCCGACGCGTATTTATGTTTATATATGCGTATACGTGGGGGTGGGGGACTTGAACATTTTTGGGGCTTTTTTTTTACATTCTTTATATGTGACTTTTATTTAATTTTTTTACTTTTTATTTTTATTGCTATCACATAGGGGCCCATAATTTTACAATGGGCGGACGGCAAGGGGTTAACATGCAAAGTGGCCCTCTGCTGAAGAGCCCAATTTGAAGAGAATTTCCTAAAAATAAAAATATGGGTATAACAGGCACATACTAGCAGCAGCCTACATAGTCCCCAACTGCTCTGGCAAGCTGACTTTATGAAAGTGCTGAAGCTTTTTTGTCCCTTCCTGCCTCCTGTACATTTCTATTAATCAATGGGCAGTGAAAGTGACCAATAGGAATGCATGGGGTCCAGAAGTGCTTTGCCTGTCAGAACCGGCTGTGATTGGAGGGTTTGAGAGGATGCTGCAGCTATGTGCAGGCCCTTTATTCCTGCAGGAGTTTATTTGTTAAATTTTAATAACAAATTCTCTTTAGGGGCCATAGATACAAAAGCAGCTCTATGCACAGATGTTAAAATGATTTAATTGCCCTGATTATCCTTTCAAACATGACAATACACACTGGGCACCTGCATCTGCTGCCCTATGATTACACCCTTCGTTAAAAGAATCTCTCTCGTTCACAAAACAAGTTGACTTTTCATATTTGTAACCAAACAACAACAAAGCACCAGCGTGTAGTGATAATGATTTCTGAATAGCTGCCTTTCATTAAAAAAAAAATGTTACATGCAAAATTATCATGTCAACACTTTAAACACTTTTGCTGCTATCATACTGAATTCAAATGGAGTACCAATAGAACAGGATTTTGTACACTGTGATTGAAAAATAATGATAACAGTAAAAGGTTAAGGAGACATTAGAAGGTGACAGGGTGACATATATCCTCACATGCTACCATTTTGCCAAAAATAAAAGAAATTATGAATTTGAATTGCATTTGGCTTTACTGGGCCAATTGGCACAGTGTGGTTAGCTTCAAGATGGCTGGCTTTTCATATGTCTTGTACAGTACACTGAGTAGTTGAATCTTTGGGGGTCTATTCACTAAGCTGCTGTAGGCAGCCGAGTGACTAACCGACCCCAAGCGAAGTGAGCCGAATGCTGTTCGGCTATTCACTTCAAGGTGGTACGGCTGATTCCAGCCGTATATCGGCTGAAATCAGTCGTACAGCGGGTGGCTTCGTGTGGCTTCAGGTCGAAGTGCAGAAGGAGTTGGAGTCAGCCGATTCAACATCTGGATCGGCTAAGCCGAACCTCCGGCAGGCTACTCGCTGCTGTTCGGTCTATTCTTATAGATGCCGAACAGCATTGAGTAAATAGCCGAATGCTGCTGAGCGGCATTCGGCTTGGCTGTTCTAATAGAAAAATGGTTAAAAAGTAGAAAAAGAAAATTAGTAACCAGGAACGCCATCTGTTACACACTGAGAACACGGAGAGGCCGCTCTCAGTGTGCAATGACAGCGTCCCTGGTAAGCTGGTAACCAGGGACGCTGATCTCTCTGCAAGTGGCCGGAGCCAGCCTTGAGATGATGGCTTTCACCGCGGCTCAGTTGAGTCGAGGCATATGCCTTCCGCTCGACTGAGCTGCTCGGCCAACTTCGGGAGCTGTACGGGTGATAGTGAATAACCCGTACAGCAGCCCTTCGGTTCCCTTCTACTGAACCGAAGGGGTCCTGGGGCCGAAGCTAGCCGAAGGATCAGCCGAAGCTACGGCTAGATTCTTCGGCAGCTTAGTGAATGAACCCCTTTGTGTATGAGTTCCCAAGTTCGCCCACCTGCTGTGGTCATTACAAGAGGATGCTAGTCTCCCTGTTGGGGGAGGAGGAAGGAAGAATTCTAGCAGGAATATATCATTATTGGAATCCCCAACGAAGTGAAAAGCGTATTCATCCTACCAGTGTCCACCTATAACAGAGATCAGAAAGGATCTCTTAAAGTCATACCAACTGCTTTTGCGCCCGGGGTTGATCTTCTTTAGAAGTATCTGTTTCCATTTCTTCCTGCTGCTCGCTGTTTTTGCCAGACTTTCCAGATTTTTCACTCATTTTCTAGGTTAGAAATCTGTGAAATACAGAAAACAATTATATGTGTTTGTTAAAATATCCTACTAAAATATGAGCAGCAGAACAGTATATAAAAAGCACACTTTACATATATTTTCAGTGTAATATATAAATTATCATCAGCTTGACATAATAAATGTTTTCTAACAAAAGTAGATTTTGTTTCACAGAAAGTTCTCAGGACATGGCTTGAAGCCTGAGGGCCCAATTCACACATCTGGGATACATTAACATTTTAGGATTTCAAATCAATTCCTGTTTCAGTGACAACAGCAATAAAAACTTCACAGGATTTCTACTCTATTCAACAGGAAAAAAAAAGTTTTGGCTGTACGTGCACTTTAAGACCATCCCCATGTGTTTGCTTTATGTTTGTGCAAGCTCTTGAAGTTAATATTGTAATGTTAATGTTATTGTAATGTTATGTAATGGTAATGTGTCATCATGGAAATACGACAAATGTCAAATGAAAAAAGAAACCCTGTAATAAATTTTAGCTTCACAGAGGTGAAGAGGTCAGTACGTAAAACACAGCAACAACATTACCTCTAAAATACTCTTCAGCAGGTATTTCTTCCCCAAATCCTTTCTACACGTCTTATATGTCAGTGACTTAGCACTTTCCTCATAACATGCATGTCCTACGTTCCTAACTGATAAGAGAAGTTGTATTTGACATTCTCCACCCATATGTACTCACAAAAGTGAAAGTGAGATGCTTACATCTAGTTTGTGTTCAAAGTGGACTACAAGCTGGATAAGTAAACACTGCTTCATCTGCAGACATCTTTCACAGCATCAATTCTACACCTCTGCTGGGAATAGTATAATATTCTGGTTTGTAACCAGTGAAATTCCTCCTTTTTTTCCTAACTGGTCAGAAAAATTACACTCAAATTGTCTTTTTTGGGGGATATTGTAATTTATGAGAGTTTTTTTTAGTAAAGGTAAACACAAACAATTGAATACTTGAATGCATGTTCCAACTACTGCAAATAAACAGATACAATTGCAGTTAAAGGAAACCTTCTCTGCATTGAATATATAAAGCTGCCATTGCTGACCTACTGCTGCAAATGGCAGTTGTGTGGCTGAACAAGTCAACTGCAGAACAGAAAAGTCAGAAGTCTGCCTTCTTGTCCTAGATCAGTGACTGAAAACAAGGAGCAAGAGGGTTGACATGACAACCAGGGAACTGGAATTTTCAGGAGGAGAGGCCAGTAATGGCAGCTTCCATGTTTTTCACATGACAGGTTTCCCTTAAAATAGATATAAACCCTTAAGTAAAACTGAAGCCAAAACCTTTTTTTTTGTTTTGGATAGAGTAAGGAAAGAGGCGTAACTAGTGACCTCAGGGCCCCGATGCAAGAATCAATGAAGGCCCCCCCCCTCCCCTTCATGTCCCCAGCTTTCCGCTCACGGACCCCACACTTTCCTCTTCCATGTCCCCTTCATAGTCCCAGCTCCCTATATCTCCCCCTTTGTGTCCGCAGCAGCTCTCTATTCGGCAGCGTTTTGTGTGATGAGGGGCCGGGGATAACACCGCTTCACACTCATTGGCTGCTGCGCCGGCTGGATCATACTTCACGCTATGCCCGGAACAAGGTGAGGGGAGCAGCGTGAAGCATGTAGGGCCCAGGACAGGAGGAAGAGGTCCCGGGACTGACATTAGCGGTTACCGGGATAATAAATATCCTGGTAATCAGCGGTCACCAGGGGCCCCTTCCTCCTGTCCTAGGCCCCCTCCAAATGGCGGAACTCCAGGGCCCGGTCGCAGCCGCGACCCTGGTAGTTCCGCCACTAAGTAAGGAAGAGGTATAACCACCTGACAGCTTTTTTTTACCATCTATCCCATTAGAGAAATGTCCATTCATTTTTTGTCTAATAGCCACAACAGGGAGTGAGAGGAAATCTCTTCAAAGAGAGGAAAATCCCTAATGTCGACAGGGTCACCAGAACTAATGACCTAATTGGAAGATTTCCCATCTATTCCTGTTCTCTTGACAGCCCAAAATTTGGGATTTTCTTTTAGGGGCCTATTCACAAAACTGCTGAAGGATCTAGCAGTAGCTTCAGCTGATCCTTCGGCCCCAGGACCCCTTCGGTTCAGTAGAACCGAAGTGCTGCTGTACGGGCTATTCACTATAGCCCGCACAGCTCCCGTTCTTGGCCGAGCGGCTCAGTCGCTCCAGCCACAGGTTCGGCTCACCAGAACTAATGACCTAATTGGAAGATTTCCCATCTATTCCTGTTCTGTTGACAGCCCAAAATTTGGGATTTTCTTTTAGGGGCCTATTCACAAAACTGCCGCAGGATCTAGCAGTAGCTTCGGCTGATCCTTCGGCCTCAGGACCCCTTCGGTTCAGTAGAACCGAAGGGCTGCTGTACCGGCTATTCACTATAGCCCGTACAGCTCCCGTTCTTGGCCGAGCGGCTCAGTCGCTCCAGCCACAGGTTCGGCTCACTTCACTTCGGGTCGGTTATTCACTCACCTGCCTACGGCAGTTTTGTGAATAGACCCCTTAAGATTTCCCATCTATTCCTGTTCTGTTGACAGCCCAAAATTTGGGATTTTCTTTTAGGGGCCTATTCACAAAACTGCCGCAGGATCTAGCAGTAGCTTCGGCTGATCCTTCGGCCTCAGGACCCCTTCGGTTCAGTAGAACCGAAGGGCTGCTGTACCGGCTATTCACTATAGCCCGTACAGCTCCCGTTCTTGGCCGAGCGGCTCAGTCGCTCCAGCCACAGGTTCGGCTCACTTCACTTCGGGTCGGTTATTCACTCACCTGCCTACGGCAGTTTTGTGAATAGACCCCTTAAGATTTCCCATCTATTCCTGTTCTGTTGACAGCCCAAAATTTGGGATTTTCTTTTAGGGGCCTATTCACAAAACTGCCGCAGGATCTAGCAGTAGCTTCGGCTGATCCTTCGGCCTCAGGACCCCTTCGGTTCAGTAGAACCGAAGGGCTGCTGTACCGGCTATTCACTATAGCCCGTACAGCTCCCGTTCTTGGCCGAGCGGCTCAGTCGCTCCAGCCACAGGTTCGGCTCACTTCACTTCGGGTCGGTTATTCACTCACCTGCCTACGGCAGTTTTGTGAATAGACCCCTTAAGATTTCCCATCTATTCCTGTTCTGTTGACAGCCCAAAATTTGGGATTTTCTTTTAGGGGCCTATTCACAAAACTGCCGCAGGATCTAGCAGTAGCTTCGGCTGATCCTTCGGCCTCAGGACCCCTTCGGTTCAGTAGAACCGAAGGGCTGCTGTACCGGCTATTCACTATAGCCCGTACAGCTCCCGTTCTTGGCCGAGCGGCTCAGTCGCTCCAGCCACAGGTTCGGCTCACTTCACTTCGGGTCGGTTATTCACTCACCTGCCTACGGCAGTTTTGTGAATAGACCCCTTAAGATTTCCCATCTATTCCTGTTCTGTTGACAGCCCAAAATTTGGGATTTTCTTTTAGGGGCCTATTCACAAAACTGCCGCAGGATCTAGCAGTAGCTTCGGCTGATCCTTCGGCCTCAGGACCCCTTCGGTTCAGTAGAACCGAAGGGCTGCTGTACCGGCTATTCACTATAGCCCGTACAGCTCCCGTTCTTGGCCGAGCGGCTCAGTCGCTCCAGCCACAGGTTCGGCTCACTTCACTTCGGGTCGGTTATTCACTCACCTGCCTACGGCAGTTTTGTGAATAGACCCCTTAAGATTTCCCATCTATTCCTGTTCTGTTGACAGCCCAAAATTTGGGATTTTCTTTTAGGGGCCTATTCACAAAACTGCCGCAGGATCTAGCAGTAGCTTCGGCTGATCCTTCGGCCTCAGGACCCCTTCGGTTCAGTAGAACCGAAGGGCTGCTGTACCGGCTATTCACTATAGCCCGTACAGCTCCCGTTCTTGGCCGAGCGGCTCAGTCGCTCCAGCCACAGGTTCGGCTCACTTCACTTCGGGTCGGTTATTCACTCACCTGCCTACGGCAGTTTTGTGAATAGACCCCTTAAGATTTCCCATCTATTCCTGTTCTGTTGACAGCCCAAAATTTGGGATTTTCTTTTAGGGGCCTATTCACAAAACTGCCGCAGGATCTAGCAGTAGCTTCGGCTGATCCTTCGGCCTCAGGACCCCTTCGGTTCAGTAGAACCGAAGGGCTGCTGTACCGGCTATTCACTATAGCCCGTACAGCTCCCGTTCTTGGCCGAGCGGCTCAGTCGCTCCAGCCACAGGTTCGGCTCACTTCACTTCGGGTCGGTTATTCACTCACCTGCCTACGGCAGTTTTGTGAATAGACCCCTTAAGATTTCCCATCTATTCCTGTTCTGTTGACAGCCCAAAATTTGGGATTTTCTTTTAGGGGCCTATTCACAAAACTGCCGCAGGATCTAGCAGTAGCTTCGGCTGATCCTTCGGCCTCAGGACCCCTTCGGTTCAGTAGAACCGAAGGGCTGCTGTACCGGCTATTCACTATAGCCCGTACAGCTCCCGTTCTTGGCCGAGCGGCTCAGTCGCTCCAGCCACAGGTTCGGCTCACTTCACTTCGGGTCGGTTATTCACTCACCTGCCTACGGCAGTTTTGTGAATAGACCCCTTAAGATTTCCCATCTATTCCTGTTCTGTTGACAGCCCAAAATTTGGGATTTTCTTTTAGGGGCCTATTCACAAAACTGCCGCAGGATCTAGCAGTAGCTTCGGCTGATCCTTCGGCCTCAGGACCCCTTCGGTTCAGTAGAACCGAAGGGCTGCTGTACCGGCTATTCACTATAGCCCGTACAGCTCCCGTTCTTGGCCGAGCGGCTCAGTCGCTCCAGCCACAGGTTCGGCTCACTTCACTTCGGGTCGGTTATTCACTCACCTGCCTACGGCAGTTTTGTGAATAGACCCCTTAAGATTTCCCATCTATTCCTGTTCTGTTGACAGCCCAAAATTTGGGATTTTCTTTTAGGGGCCTATTCACAAAACTGCCGCAGGATCTAGCAGTAGCTTCGGCTGA